GGGGTAGGTGAAACACCCACACTTGCCCCCACCCTCATTCACCCCACCCTGGGCCCATGAGCAAGGCCCTTAACCCCCACCATGTGCTCCCTAAAAAAAAAAAAAAAAAGGTCTCTCTTGAAAATGAGTTCTCGTGGCTCAATGAGACTAACCTGGATAAATAAAGGCTAAATGAAAAAAAAATAATTTCTATCTCCGTTAATGCGGCCCAAACCACAGTGTCTACCCCCACAAAAGTTATATCCAAACGACCGGCCCGGCTTTGAGATGTGTGCTATTACTTTTATTGGCAATTGGCGTTACCATGGCGACATATTTTGCTAACGAAAATGACAAATTTCCCATAAGAAATGAATAGGAGAAAACTTTTCACAGAAACTGAGTAACGTCAGGAGCCATTTTGGTTCAACATGCATGGAAGGCACCTATTATCACCTATTATTATTATTATAATTAATTAGTAAAATGATAATTAGCTTAAATTATTAATGATTAATTTTAATAATTACAAATAATAACATTAATAATTACTAATATTAATAATTGATATTTAATATTAATTATTAGCATTATCAAATATATTAATAGTTTATAATAATTAATAAATCGAAAATATACTAATATTAATTATTAATATTATTCATTATTAATGTTTATTATTAATAATAATTTAATAATAAATTGGCAGTCCCCGTCAAAGATTCTCCAGGAACTTTCTAGGTGTATTTGTTCTTGTCATTTGTCTTTCAGGTGTAAAATTTGCAGCTCGTCTCTTTTAGTTGACCCATACACACATTATGGAAGTGATACCAGCTCCTTGATCTGCGCTCACCACGTAAAAAACGCTCCAACGTCTCCCGATGACCTCAGTCAGCAAACTGGATCTATTGATAATAAACCCAGGTGTGGGTTTCAGACGAGGTTTTCAGGTTTGTACTCTTTGGATGGATCGGCTATCACCAGCGTGCCTCGTTACGCTCAGACTGCGGCGCCCCAAGCTGATGAAGAACACAGGAGTGTGGTGGACATGGAGGGACGAGGGGAGGCAGCGAGGACCTCTGAGCTGTCCTCAGCCTGTAGGTCAGGGACAGGAAGACCAGCTCGTCCTGTTCCAGCCCCCAGACAAAGCCTGGACTCCACTTTAGTCCCAGTTCCTGCTCTCAAGATCAAAAGTGCTCAGACACCGAGCAGCTCCTCTGCTGCAGGTATTGTTGTAGCTGCTCTGGTTTTATTTTCACTGATCGACGTCGTCACTGAGCTTTAGCTGTGGGAGAAGATATTTTTAGTTTTCTTCTTTTTTTCTTTGCAGAAACTACAGAACACCGAAATAAATCGCCACCTGGCTCTTCTCGCATGTAAGTAAAAAAAAAAAAAAAAAGTTGCTCACTGGTAAAAACGTTCTGTCTTCTGCATGTTTCTCATGAACTTTACAGTATATGCAGTAAACCTATTTTCATTTACTGAGATCAGTTTTCTGACTTGTGCTGACTAGTTTTTCAAAACTTGAAAATAACCAGACAAGTTTTTTGGTATTTGGGGGAAAGATTCAAGCAAGTGTCTAAATGTTGCATAACCAAAGTTATCTGACACAAAGAGTTACAGTACATACAGTACATATTGGTACGTAATGCATGTTTTGTTGTAAATATTTTAATACTACTGTTAATGT